GAGCCACCACAAAAACTTGTAGATTCCAACAGCAACTCTTTATTCCCGAACTCTCACCGGCACTCTACACACACGTTCTGGGGAAAAATACACTCCCTCCACCTGGCTCTGCATACCAAATACTCTCAGAACCCCGAGAGAACTCCATGGGAACTCAAGGAGCGGGTGCCTGAGGCAGCAGGATACGCCCTATTCCCAGCAGGATCCACCCTAAACCTGGACTCACCCTAATCCAGCAGGATCCACCCTAAACCCGGAGCCGCCCTAATCCCTGAGCAAGGTCACCTCTCAAACATTCATGCAATGTCACTGCAAATGACCTGGGTCCAAGGCAAGCCCATTTCCACAATGGAGAGTCCTCCCTCTAAGCAACATTGGGTAGGCTGACAAGGAAATTGCCATGCGTCATTCCTACTTGGCTATGGCTCTCAGCACTAACTACTCCCATGTTTTGTTTTGTTTTAAATCCAATATGTATTATGTTAAAAGTTGCAATACTTGAATATTCAAGACATTTCCTCTTAAAATTCTTACATTTAAGTACTTAAATATATATTACAAAATTTAAGAATAGTAATGGAATGAAAATTGTTTCCTTTATAAACATCACATTACCTAGAACACTACTGAAGACCACATTAACAAATATTTCAATTCCTGTAACATATGTATTGAAAAGCCTGAGAAGCCCATATTGCTGAGAGTTAAATATGTCTACTGATGTGATGTGAAATTTGAGGATATTAATCAATGCCAATAATCATTTCATTATTTTATAAAAACTTTGGGAAAAATTCAAAATTTAACATTTTAGCTATTCCCCGAATTCAATTTATTTAGGTACTCTTTCAGCACAAAAATGTGGTTGTATTAAGGCAGAATGCTGAAGCAACTTCTAATAAACTCATTTCAGATGCTAATATATTTTWAAAATATTGTTTCTTTACCACTTATGCCTAAAAATTCAGTTTAGCCTTTTTATCCAGACACACTACATGTAATATGTGTTAGGAAAAACTACTAGGCAATTTATTTATTTTATTAATAAATAAGAATTTTCCTCAAATGCAGTCCTAGGGGAAGGGAAGATTGAAACCTTTCTTGTTTTCACAGGTGCTATTAACTTGAAATATGGGACTGTTTGTTTTTTTTGTTTTTTTTTTTTGAGACACAGTACTAAGTTTCCTGCCTTCTTCTACTATTAAATTATTAAAAAGAAACATTGAAAAACCAAAGTAAATTTAAATTTAATAATTTTAAATAGCAGTGTTCAAAATAAACTTTCATTTATATATAATAGAATTACATAATGATTAGCTAGAAGCACAATAATTTTAAGTATGCATAAAATAACAAAATATAACAAAGTCTTGAATATTTATGTTTATATCAAGTTTATGGTAAGTCAACATAGGATTAAAAAAATAAAAAAGGTTACATTAAACCCTACATAGTTTATTTCTGGTGAAACATTTAAATSCTTTTCTAGTATAATACAAAATATATTATTTCCCCTACTAACAAGAGAAAAGATCTATCACCAAAATACATTACTTTCAGGGGGAAAAATGCTTCTCATTTTCATAAAACAATGTAATAAAGTGCTTTTTCTTATAGGATATAGATCCTGGGAAAGTTAAAAATATATTTTTAAAAATATAATTTCTTGTCCTGCTAGTATATCCTTCTACCACCCTATGCTGGGTATTAAAAGGGTTTCCTGCATACTAGGCAAGCACTCTACCACTGAGCTGCATTCCCAGCCCAATCATATCATTTTTCTATATCATTCCTACATACAGTTATAAACTAAATTAATCATGTACAATTTCTTGAATGAAAAGCTCATTTAATCTTGTGATAAATGTGAGATAGTATAAAATCGAGGGACTTTTTTTAAAAAAATACTTTATGACATTTATTATAGTATAGGTTGAGTATCCCTTATCCAAAATGCTTAGAAACAGAAGTATAATGGATTCCTGATTTTTTTCTTTTTGGATTTTGGGATATTTACATATACATAATGAGATTTCATAKGTCAGGAACCCAAGTCTAACTATAAAATTATTTAAGTTTCATGTGTACCTTATATACATAGCCTGGAGATAATTTTGTACAATATTTTAGTGTCCCTGCATTTTGTACACAATGTATCACATGAAGTCAGATGTAGAACTTTCCATTTGTGGTGTCATGTCAACACTCAAAAAGTTTCAGATTTTTAGAGCACTGCAGATTTTTAGAGCACTGTAGATTTTGGATTTTCAGATTAGGGAAGCTCAACCTGTCATGATATCTATCTTGTTAGAAATAGTCAATAGAAATGAACTAAAGAACTCCTATCAATAATGATACTTGGATTACTCATTGGATAAAAACCAAAGGCTATTCATGTGCCCAGACTACTTACTTAAGATTAGTCTAAATGCAATACTGTTTTCCACTGAAAACCCAAGTGTGAGTGAAATGRACATTTCCTACAATCAGTAAAAACTCCCCCTTTTACAGAAACAGTAGATAAGGTCTTTCATCATCCAAAATGGCAAGATCCACATCACACAAATGATTCATATAGATTAAATTGTCATTCCTTTAATTAGAGAAATCCTAATTCACRTAAGACCCTAACAGAGTAACTTGGGTGCCAAACAATGCATTTGGATTTAAGAAATTAACAGGTAATATCTGGCAAATATGTTATTTAACAATTGCCTTCTATTATCTACTAAAATTTCTATGTACATGATTTATATGTGCACAAGATGAACTTTTTTCCTTCCATGCTACACATTATTTAGCACACAACTAAAACAATTCTGATGTATCTGACATACAATAAGATTAAGTTACACTGAAATGTATRTATATCAAATTCTCAGAAACTGCTTTTGATATTATGGAATAATTTTCAGTTTTCTTTATAATAATACTAAGTGGTTGTGATTTCTAAATTATCTTTTAAAAAATCTCCAAAAATAAGACAATTTTTATTTTAAAATTGGGATTATGACTTAAGAGGTACAATAGAAATATTCATTTAAATTATTGAAAAGAAAAACATAAAATCATTGTAACAGAATAACGTGAAAAAAAGTTCTTGCCCAAGAATCTACACCTTATTTGGTTATTGTTGTTTCAAGTTGAAATGGCATCGCTAGAATTGTTGCCTTTGAATATTTTGTTTCTGGAAAAAAGCCTTTCCAAATTCATATGTACTGATCATAATGGCACAAGCAGGAGCAATTTTAATTAATCGAGGAATCAGGCCTGAAAAGAGAACAAGAAAAAGAACAAATTTTACATTATTTTTTTAAAAAATAACTTATTTGACTTCATTTTGATAATAACCAAAATAAATGAAGTGATATATCAAATTTTGTATCATAAATTGGTCAAACCATTCACTTCAAACTTCTTCATTTCAATTCTAGGTTATACAGAAATTAGTAAATATGTTTAACCTTTCATTTAACTTATAGCAATGATATTTAGGAGAAATTTTTTAAAATATAGAATGTTATCTGAAATTTCCTTCTTTAAGTTAATTTAATTATTATTATTATTAATTTTTTTTTGGTACTGGGGATTGAACCCAGGGGTGCTTAACCACTGAGCTATATCCCCAGCCCTTTGGTGCTTTTTATTTTTAGATGGGGTCCTTCTAAGTTGCTCAGGGGCCCTGCTATATTGAGGCTGGCTTTGAACTTGCAATGCTCCTGCCTCAGTTTCTCAAGCTGCTGGGATTCTTTAATTTTTGAAGATAACAGACTGAAACTCAATAATTTGGTTCAAGGATTTAGTAAAGCAATATTATTACCTGTAAATAATCCAGATAATCCATCTTTAGCAACAATATTTTTCATTATAAACCAGGTTGACATGTGGGAAGGCATAGAAACTAAATGTTAAAAGAAAGAAACAATGCTATCATAAATTACAATTTAATTAAATTTCTCATACTGATAATACAAATACAATGGTGTTTATTGCCTTTGGGAGCATATCATATATAAGAAGAACAGATCTGTTCACCTAAAGAGCTAATTTCAGTCATATTTTTAATATTTGAATTCATTAAGAAGGAAAGGAAAAAGGTTCTAAGTCTTAAAGTATATAGAATTGGATGCAATAAAGGAGGGGTACACAGAAAGCTTCTTTTGAATTGAAAAAGTTTGTTTCTTTAATTTAATGGTATTATTYTTTATAGTTTCTCCCATGTCTTAAAATGTTGCATATGGTATTTTTAAGAAATGTATAAAAACTTTTCATGGGATATCTAATACCAAAGAAAATTCCAGAAAATAATTTGTCATTTCAATTTGATTTCCCACAATTAAAAAAATTGTTTTCTTAAAAAGAAGTTCTGAGGAAAATAGATCATTTTCCCTAGTGGCATCCTGCTGTATTACAACCTTTCTAAGCAGATATTTTAGTCTTGAAATAAATTAGAACTGTCCTCTTTCCTCCAAAGAGCAGATGTTTAGCTAACAGTACCGTTCAGTTATTTGCAACCACTGAAAACTGAAGAAAAAACTAATTTTTTAAAACTTAGCAAAAGTGTATGTCACTGAAATTCAAACAAAGCTTATGAATGGTGGATATATTGTACACAAACTTTGCTTACCTTCATTTTACACAGTGATTCTAAGCAGCAGGCTAAAGCCTGAAGATTACTAGATGCAATGAGTTTTTTAAAAAGTCTAAGGAGCAGATGTATTAGCATGTAAGCAGTGTGAATGCTGATAGGCTTAAGGTTTTAAAGTCTTGGTTTGAGACTAAGTGGATGACAGACAAATGATCTTCATTGCCTTCTCTAGTTTTTGAGAACTGCATTATAAACTGTACAACTCTTAGTCATTAAGAAAGAGTAAAGGATGGGCTGGGGTTGTGGCTCAGTGTTAAGAGTGCTTGCCCAGGGCTGCGGTGTGGCTCAGCGGCAGAGTGCTCGCCTAGCACATGCGAGGCCCTGAGTTCGATCCTCAGCATCACATAGAAATAAATAAATAAAGGTATTGTGTCCAACAACAACTAAAAGATAATATTTTAAAAAGAGAGAGAGAGAGAATGCTTTCCTGGCATGTGTCAAGCACTGGGTTTGATCCTCAGCACCACATAAAAATAAATAAAGGTACTGTGTCCATCTACAACTAAAAAAATAAATAAATAAACAGACTATTTTTAAAAGAAAGAAAAAAAGAGTAAAGGCAAGTGCTGGGAAATGATATTGGCCAAATTATATTGTTACATTGTATATATGTACGAATACCTAACAACAACTTCCATCATTATGTACCACTACAGTGCACCAAAAAAAAAATATATATGGAAAAAAAAAAGCAAGGGATGTACTATTAAGCAAGCCTGGGGGGTATAAAGGGAAATTTTTTACCAAGTTATCCTTCAGAAATAGAAACACACACACACACACACACACACACACACACACACACACACTAAAAACAAGACCCAATAATATGCTGCTGTCAAGAAACTCACTTAATAAAAAAAAAAAAAAGCAAAAAGAAGGAAATAGATATTCTAAGCAAATAATACTCAAAAGTGACCAGGTGTACCTACACTTATATCTGACAAAATAGAATTTAAGACAGAATATCTGAAGAGACAAAGGTCACTGTTGTAAGATGATCCAGAGATCAATTCAACAAGATATAATAATTATAAAAAAATATGCATTAGTAACAGAGTATCCAATTTTACAGGACAAGATCAAAAGGGAGAAGCTCCAATACAATAAGAGTAGGAGACTTCACCCAACTTTCATAAACAGATAAGATCATCCATACCAAAAATAAATAGTTAGGCTATGCTATAGATTAATTGAACTTAACAGATACTTATAAACATTTCATCCAAAAGCTGTAGAATACATTTTCTTTTCAATCAGCATATAGAACTTCCTCTAGAACAGACCACATATTAGACCACAAAAYAAATCTTAACAAATTTTAAAAATGAAATCACATCCTATGTATTTTTCTGACTACAATGAAATTAAACTAGGAATCAATAATAAAAGAAACTTTAAAATTATACAAATACATTCGGACTAAATGAACAACACACTTTTGAAAGAAAAAAATAGGTTCCTGAAGAAATCAAAAGGGCAATTTAAAAACTTGTTGAAAACAAATGAAAATGTAAGCAGAACACAAAGAAACTTACTGAATACAGTAAAAGCAGTATTAAGAGGGAATTTTATAGCAATAAATGCCTACCATGAAAAAGATAAAGATTTCAAAAAAACAACAATTTATATAAAGGATGTAAAAAAGAAAGAACAAACCAAACCCCAAATTAGAAAGAAAGAAATAATAAAAATCAGAGCAAAAAGGAAATAATATGAAGAATTAATAAATGAGATGGTATGGAGTTAAAAAGTTTCTATACAGCAAGGGAAAAAGTTAAGAGCATAAAGAGAGAGCCTACAAAATGGGAGAAAATCTTTGCCAGCTACTTTCCAACACAAGATTARTATCTAGAATATATAAAGAACTCAAAAAAATCTACACCAAAACAACACAAAAAATAACCCAAGAAATAAATGGGCAAATGAACTAAACAGACATTTCTCAAAAGAATAAAAACAAATGACCAAAAAAAAAAAGAAAAAAAATGTTAAACATCTTTAGCAATCATGAAAATGTAAATCAAAACTACACTGACAGTTCATCTCACTCCAGTTGGAATGGCAATCATTAATAGTACAAATAATGAATGCTGGTGAGGATGCAGGGAAAAAGGAAGACTTTAACACCGTTAATGGGGTTGGAAATTAGTACAACCACTAATTCAAATCAGTATGGAAATCAGTATGAAGGTTCCTCAAAGGACTGGGAATGGAAGCACTATGTAACCCAGGTATACCACTTCTCAGTATTTATTCAAAAAAATCTGAAGCATACTATGGCAATGTACATGCATACCCATGTTTATAGTAACACAATTCAATAGCTATGTTATCAAATCAGCCTAAGTGTGCATTAACAGATGAATGTATAAAGAAAATTTTGCYACTTAATGAAACAGGAATAAATATTTCAAAATTTCAGTTATTAAAATCTCTATAAAGGTAAACGAGGCTTATGATTTATTTACAAAGCTATACTATCGGGGTTGGGATTGTGGGTCAGYGGTAGAGCACTCGCCTCGCATGTGCAAGGCCCTGGGTTCGATCCTTAGCACCACGAAAACATAAGTAAATTAAAAAAGGTATTGTGTCCAACTACAACTAAAAAATAAATATTAAAAAAGCTATACTATCAATATAAATAGTATAAGCATCATAAATACAGTAATCCAACAAAAGGAATAATAATTTTTAAATCAATTACAAAAAAATTATCAATAAAATTAAACTTTCTAAATAAAGTCTATAACAAGAACCTTATACAAGTTGACACTTTTTATGTTTCATAGTTATTACTACAAATAATAAGCAACTCTTACTTTGTAAAGAAACATTGTTTTTAAATATTTAAAGAATAGAAGATAATAAATGCTCATTTATTGACCAAACTTATTAAATTGTAACAACTATGTATTTTGGATACAACTTAAGTTCCCAATACAGTATTACCAGATCTTATTGTTCCTCTTTCCTCAGAGGTGAAATTCCTTTTTTAAAAAATTACCTTTCTCAAGTGTTTAAATTTTTACATCTGAATATTTTGATAAACAATGTATATCTTTATTTGCCCCTTTTAAACTTTGTATCACACCATGCATTTACTCTTGTAATATGCTTCTGAAATTATCCAGGTCGGTAAGTGTAGCAGTACTTTATTCATTTTAATTGCTGTATAGTGTTGGATTGTATAGATTATCACCACATACAGATAGTCTTGACATTTAGGTGGTTTTTAACCTTTTGTTATCCTTTAAATATCTTTGTACATGCATAGAGGCTTCTCTAGGGCACACATCTAGGGGTGGAACTGTTTGTTCAAGGGGCATCAAAACCAGACTGTTTTCCAAGGCAGTTGTTCCAAATTTGTACTTACACCATCACAATATGATTGTTCATATCCTCCCAAATAATTCAATTCATACAAACTATCCCCTCATTGCTATTACTCATTACTACTAAGATTGAGCATTTTAAAATAAGTGTTTTCACCATGTGATTTTTTTTTGTTTTAAAATATTGTTTTGAGCCAGGCACAGTAGCACAGACATATAATCCCAGTGACTCAGGAGGCTGAGGCAGGAGAATCACAAATTCAAGGCTAGCCTCAGCAACTTATTGAGGCCTGAAGTAACTCAGTGAGACTTTGCCTCTAATAAAAATATAAAAAAAGCCTGGAGATATGACTCAGTGGTTAAGCAACCCTGGGTTTAATCCCTAGTACCAAAACAAACAAACAAACAAACAAACAAATAAATAAATAAAAATTTTAAAAGTGGCTGGGGATATAGCTCAATGGTAGAGCATCACCAGTTTCAATCCCCAGTGCCACAAAGTAAAAAGAAAAGTTGTTTGGAATATTTATAATAGTTTAATGTTACATTTATTAAAAATTAAGATAAAAAATTTAAAAATGTTTAAATTGTATTTTAAAATGTTGACTATACACATAGAAAATGAAGCTTAACTCTGAAAAATAGGTGCATTTAGACAAAGTTTAAGAAGTTGAAACCAGATATTAACCTTAAAAACTTAAATAAAAATGCACTCAAATGAGAGAACAGTTACAGTTATAAGATCTGGCACATACTATACCCTAGATGTGTGTGTGTGTGTGTGTGTGTGTGTGTGTGTGTGTGTGTGTGATTGGGATTTGATCCAGGGGTGCTTCCTCACTGAGCCACATTCCCAGTCCTTTTTATATTTTTTTAATTTTAAGATGTGGTCTCTCCAAGTTGCCCAGGTTGCTTTAAACTTGTGATCCTTCTGCATCACTGGGATTATAAGCATGTACCACCACACCTGGGATTTCTTAAATTTTTTGCTTGGGTTTAGAGTGTCTTTTTCTAGTATATATTTATTAGTTTTATTAAAGAATAAAACATAAGAAAAAAATCTTCCTTCTTTTATTTTAGATATTCTTTTTTTTTTTTTTAAAGAGAGAGTGAGAGAGGAGAGAGAGAGAGAGAATTTTTTTTTTAATATTTATTTTTTAGTTCTCGGCAGACACAACATCTTTGTTGGTATGTGGTGCTGAGGATCGAACCCGGGCYGCACGCATGCCAGGCGATCGCGCTACCGCTTGAGCCACATCCCCAGCCCCATATTTTAGATATTCTTAACCTAAAACCTAGAAGGAAAAACATGACATTTTAAAAATGTTTTAAATTAATTGAACTTACTTTTTTGACTTTCATATATCCAAAGTTGAGTCTGCTTTTGAGTTTTTACCACATCAAATGGTAAAGTTGCAACAGCTGCAAACTATCAGAAAGTAAAACTAATTAACTTAAGTCTTTTACTTTTTCTAAAGTATTTTAAATTCTTCTAATTAGCATATTAACAAGGATAATAATGAAAATCATCACTAAAATTAAGTTTAAAACATTTTTTAAAAGTTTTTATTAAAGAAAATAGATATACCTTGTATATTCCTCACAAGACTCAACTAAACAGTTTCATGGAAGTTCTCTTACTTTCCTGAGATCAGACAGTTACTAGTGGCAGAGTCAGAATTCCAATCAGACCGCTCTGACTCCAAAACTCACAATTTTTGTTGCTTCTTTACCTCACATGAAGGTATAATACAATATTAAAGCATAAATTTTCCAGTAAACATAAAATTTTCCAACAAGTGTTTTAAATGTAAATAAAATTTTAAAAAGATAAATTAGAAAATGGTCTTTAAACATTTAGTTCTATATACCTTTTCTTAATGGGCTTTAAACATATTTATCAAATGTTGTTACAATGGTTCAAAAATAACATTTAAAAAAAATTTTCTCAAAATGATTCAATTTTACAATTATTTCCATAATGTAGGTAAGGGAGAGTTTTTAAAAAAGAATAATTAAATTCCTTTAAGAATATTCTCACTGTATCTGATAGAACAGCCACACAAAGTAAAATCTGGTCTTTATTTTGCTTACCAACTCACAGTTGCGCAACATACTCATAACATGCTTATTAAACTCAATTATATTTAACCCCAGCAATCTGTTAAATTCTTGATATCAGTTTTAAAGATCATGGGTAAGACTAAATCAGTCATTGTTTCTCTGTCTCTACAACCTACCATGTAGTAGCAACAGGTAGCTACAATCTCTTACACACTTTCTAAAGTAATGAGGTTTAAACTGCTTTGTTTTATAACAGAAAGCCTAGATACTATCACTTTCATATGCTTTTCCTGTTACACAAACAAGTCTTTATTTGAAAACTTCCAAAAGACATTTTCTAGATCATTAAAACATAATTTAAGGGCTGGGGCTGTAGCTCAGTGGTAGAGTGCTTGACTAGCATGCTTGAGGCACTGGGTTCCATCCTCAGCACCACATAAAACAATGTACAAACAAAATAAAGGTATTGTGTCCATCTATAAAAAAAAACATAATTTAAAAATAAGTTTTCTATGTTAAGCGGAAATAATAAAATAGAGAACTTCCCTTCATATTACTGTAAAGCTGGTGCAACATCCTGAAGTTATTATTCAACAATACTAATTGTGTTTCTGGCCTAAAGGGCTTATAATTTACTAGGCTTACTTTGACAGATTTTAGACCAAATGATATTCTTGTCTAAGTTTTGAACTCAATATCTGTAGCTTCTGTAGGTTTTCTGATATATTATTCCAGTACTTTCTGTCAGGTTTCTATCACTTCACTCTGGACCTTTAGTTCTGTTTTTATATGGTTCCAATGTCAGTGTCATGCTTTAAACAATCACAAATTAATTTTGGAAGTATGTGGATATAAAAAACTCTTCATTGCCAAAGTCAGGGTGACATAAATCTACCTAAAAAAAGTTTGCTCTGCAACTTTCTATTATTTTTGAAGGGGTGGGAAAGGCAACCTTCTCACTCAAAAAATGGTCTTAAATTTAAGATTTTCCCTGCTGGTTATACTTTTTCTTGAAATTATTATAAGCCAAATGTTTCCTAAGAAACAGAAAATAGCAACAAGGTATGGAACTGCTTCTGTTTAGTTCAAAGATATATACGGGATGAGATTCTATGAAATATTAATCATATCTACTAGTATTTATTAAACTAGTGTATTATAAAATATTCTGCAAATAATAAAGCACTATTCCAAGTATTATCATGATTCTAACTATAATGATCCAACAAATCTAAAGATTTCTCAGAAAATATGATAATGCACATTAATATAATAAAAACATAAATACAAAGTACATTTAAAAACTATTTTAATGGTCAATAATTTATTTCCTTAAATAGGATAATAAGTACTTACACAGAATTTAAAACAGTACAATAAGCACTATCTCAATATACATTAAATACTATCCAATACTTAACTCTGTTTTAAAATAATAACTACCATTTTGCTGGTGTATTAACAACAAAAGGATAAACTTACAGAACCAGACAATGCCCCTGAAGTAAAGTTGATCATAAATGTGGGTTCATATAAACCAGATTTCTCACACAACCACTTCTTTAAAATTTCATAGTTATACCAGTACATTGCTATAAAAATAGAGAATGAAATGAGCGCACATTTAGAAATAAAATGTCGACTTTAAAGAAGAGTTATGAAGTTATAAATTAAAGGAAAAGAGAAATTCTGACAGTGTCACACATCTTGCTTTCTGTTAGACTGGATGGGATTTAAAAAGGCAGGGATTAAAATTTTTAGTAATATTCTAGCATTCTTTAAACAAAAAACCATCCTGTTTATCAGTAAAGTAGGACTATAATTCCGAAACCTGACAAGAATAAGTATGAGGGGAAAAAAAAGTAAATGCCCATCTATTGACAAATATAGGTTTAAAGATCCTTGAAAAAAGAGCAAAATGAAGCTAGATTGGATTATCCCAGAAATGCTATGCTGAGGCAGTTACTGTAACAGTGTTATCTACCACATCAACAAAACAGTGGCATAAAATAGTAACCAAAAAAAGCATTCAAAAAAATGTAACACTTCCATGTAAAGTGAACAAAAAAATTTCTTAGGATTCTATAGGTAAAAGGGAATTCCTTTAACTTGATAAATGGTATGCATCAAACCTGTAGCAAAAAAAAATATTGGAAACAACAAAACTATTTCCTTTAAAATAAGAAAAATGATAGGGATGCTTATTATCACTACTATTCAAAAAAGTTTGCTATGCAACTTTCTATTATTTTTGAAGGGGTGGGAAAGGCAACCTTCCTGTAGGAAGAATAGTTATAATGATTAAAGTAATATGTAACCTTTATGAGAAAAATTAAAATCTCTACTGAAATACTTTAAAGAAGTTTTATTATTAACAAACAGATATGGACATTCCTAGAAAAGAAAAATGAGGTGACATCAAGAATTTTTACAAAGAGCTTGTCATTTAGATTAGTAATTTTGACAGAATCTATTGGCACAGATGTAGACAAATTAACCAGTGAAACACATGCATGCATATACATGAAAATTTGATATGACACAGGTGACAATGCAGATACCTACAGGAACTGTAATTATTCCATAAATGATGCTGAGACAATAAACAATCCAAATGGGGGTGTGTGTGAAAATGAATATCTATTTGGTCTATATCCCCAAATTGATTCTGAATAACTGGATAGCTAGTGAAATAGTGCCCAGCCTTATTAAAATAGAGTTGTAAATAAAGTGAGGTGCTACTTTAAATAACTAGATAAACACCATGAAAGAACTGTGACAATAAAAGAGCTGGCAAAGGTATAAAGCAGATGGAAGTTTCATGCAGTGCTGTTAGCTGTATAAATCCATTCAATCACTTTAGAAAAGAATCCACTGTTGAAAGAAGAATGATCAGACATTACTTTCCTATATTCATATATGGACACACAACCAGTGTAACTCCATATCATGTACAACCAAAAGAATGGGAAGTTATACTCCATGTATGTATAATAGGTGAATATACATTCTACTGTTATGTATAACTAAAAAGAATTTTAAAAATTTWAAAAAAGGAATCTACCATTACCTAGTAAAACTAGAAATGTATATGTGGAACTAGGTATGGTGGCATGCACTTATAATCCCAGCTACCTAGGAGGTTGAGACAGGAGTATTACCAAGTTCAAACACAGCCTGGGCAATTTAGGGAGACCCTGTCTCAAAATAAAAAGGGCTGAAGATATAGCTCAGAGGTAGAACAATCCCAGGTTGAATCTCCAGTACCCATCAAACAATAGTAAATAAATAAATAGTAAAGAAAACATAAGTGACATAGGAATCAATGATTAGTTATCTATTTCATGTTTTTAAACAGGATAACTGAACTCAACCACCTATCTGATTATTTGATTTACAATAATCCTTTATAGGATACTCAATGGGGAGATGTTTATTTTTAATAATTAAAAAAAGTAGGAAGGAATTCATGTATTTTAAAGGGTCATAAATGGATTTTATGATATTTTGATTTGAAAAGTTTACTTACCTTACTGATTATCACTTATTTAGAATAAGGTTAAAGGTAGTTTTTATTCTCTGAATATGAATACCTACTAATTAAAGTTTCAAAGAAAATTAAACACAAGGAGAAGAGAAAACCAGGTTTGAATTAGAAACTTCATTCAATAAAGGCTTATGAAGATCTGAAAGCCCAAATGAACCTGGAATTTGTGGTCACTACAGAAAATAGCTTACCTTTAATCATAAAGGATTTAAACCTTAGTAAAAGTAATATAAGAATAAGGACAAGGTTATGTGAAATTTATAAGCTACTAGTAAGAAGACATATCCTACCTGAGAAAGGTACATCTCTAAGGATAGTGGGAACCCAGCCCTTCCAAAGTGAAATCCAACCATCTTCAGCTACTTTCTTGCTGACAAATCGATGCAGTTCCTCATAAGAAAACTTCTTAGACTGCATCTTGGTTCTAATCAATTCTAACGGACTTATCACAGTTACTGCACCAACTAACAGAACCAATCAAATAAAAGAAAACAAAAATAAAGCCATGTACGCAAACACACATGTAAAAATATTTCATGTATTTTATATTTTAACATTTTATTCTGAAATGTCTGCAAACATTAAAATACCTACTGATGTCAAAACATTGACACAGATTTTCTCCCTTGATGAAACAAAAAAGTATATTTTTCATATACCTTTTTCTGGTTTCAACTCTTTCAAGATTAGTCCCAGAAATTTTATAATCAACTAGAACTATTACAATAATTAATTCCAATTAGTGCCCCCAATAAACCTCACTTCTGTTTCACAGATATAAATGTTCTTCTGCATAGAAGCATATTTCCTTCTGACTAAACTCTGAACCTAAGGTTATGAAGAAAATGGTTCAAGACTTTGGCCAGAAACATACATGGACCCAGATAACATCTTTGAAGTTTAAGGGAGTAAGAATCAATTCTGATGGCACTCTAAAAACTGTCCCAAGATTCTACCAAGATGGGCTAATTCCATCTCATTCTGAGGGCAATCATTATGCCTTGTTACCTTTGGAATAAAGATATTAACAAATTAGTACAAACTGGAATGCAAAATATACTGATATTCTTTCTACAYTGTACAAATTCTCTGTGGATACCAAATTTAAATGGATGTTCTAAACAGAAGTCAAAAAGAATATAAAAATTCATTACTTACATCTGGCCACAATTCCAGCAACAATTGGTATTCGGGTTTCATTTTCTCCTAATTTAGATCTCAGAAAAGCACTTAATTGATCATAGCAGGTGAAATAAATAACTGTGGCAGGAACTGCCATCACTCTGATAGAAACAAAATTTTTTTTCAAAATTATCAAAAGATCTCAAACATACTATTGAATTAAATTCAAATATTACTATAAGCTTTAAAAAAAACTTTTCTTTTTTGTTTTGTTTTGTTTTTGTGGTGTTGGGGATTGCCCATGCCCTTGTGCATACGAGGCAAACACTTTACCAACTAAGCTAAATCCCCAGCCCAAAATCATTTATTTTGGATAAGCTAAAAAACAACAAATCAGCCCATAAGATAAATTTTTCTTTTATGTAAAAAATTATTGGCATTTAATTTAGCAATAAAAAAGTTATAAGATTGGTATCTGCCCTCCTCTAGTTGTGAAGTTCCAATATATGGCATCAAATAAATGCTATATAAGATAAATTATAATATGTAGCATTAAGTAAGTGCTATGTTACCAAACTCAGATAATATAAATTATATAACCTCAGGTCATAAATAGGGAAATAAAATTAGAACACTTGTCCTTTTCCTCATCTTTTTTGATCTGTTTCTGTTCTCTCAGATATGATTTCCCAATTAATATTTACCTTAATATGAGAATCACTGCAATAAAATGTTGTTGAACAACAGTAAGATATTTTTGAACTATGGGAATATATCACTCCAGCTTACAACAAGAAATAAACTACAATTAACATTACCAGAATTAATGTTTTGAGGAAATTCTAATGACCCATTCTTTTAAATGAAAATATAAAAAGGGAATTATTAAATTCACATACAATGTTGTGGGCATTGTCATGTCAGAAATATTAATGCAATAAGAAACCAGTTTATGCTTTATGTTTATGGTTTAACAGACCATAGTTTGGAATGCTTTAATAACCATTCCCCCCAACCCCATCCCTCATACTGGAGATTAAACCCAGACGCACTTTACCCCGAGCCATATCCCCTGCCCTTTCTTTCTTTCTTTCTTTCTTTTTTTTTTTTTTTTTGATTCAGGTTGTCACTCACTATGTTGTTTAGGGTCTCACTAATTTGCTAGGGCTGGCCTGGAACTTGCAATCCTCTTGCCTCAGACTCCTGAGTTTCTGGAGTTACAGGTATGTGCCACCACACCTGGAGGAATGCTTTAATATTCTATGGTGAAGTTTGAAGCTAAGAATTTGGAGTAGGACTGAAATAGTGCTCTTAGATCTTCCACTAACTTTATAATCTTAGGCATTAAAATAAATGCCTCAAAATTGATTCTATACAAAGGATAGAAATTTTTAGAAATAAATGAGGCAGAGAAAGCCAAGATATTTTATTTTGGAATTTTTACATTCAGATCTACTAGTTTATCATATTCATATAATTGCTAGTAAGTAGAATTACCTGGAGGAAATATACACATAATACAGTATACCTCACAGTTTTGGTAAAATAAAAATCAAATAAACACTAAATTATTTTTTCCCTCTGGTTCTGGGAATTGAACCCAGAGATACTTTACTATGAGTGACATTCCTAGCCCCTTTGATTTTTTATTTTGAGACAGGGTCTTGCTAAATTGTCAAGGGTAGACTCAAACTTGTGATCTTCTTGCCTCAACCTTATGAATGGCTGGATTAAAAGCATGTGCCATTGTACCTAGCCTAAATTATTTCTGAACATAAAGAAAAAAATTATGCTAACACAGCAGGTCTGGTTGCTTGAATCTTCTATAATTATCTTTAAGAGGCCCTGTTTGCATGCTGAGCTTTGACTAACTCATGGGAATTTAGCCACTGGAATATTCAGTATGATAATACTTTCTAGATGTCTAAAGCTCTAAACCAACTAATCCAAGTGGATTTGTGCAAACAATGTAACATATGTGAAACATCTATTTTCCCTCTGGGGATCTGAAGTTTGGCTAATCATAACTGGTCACAAAGACAGAATGTACCTACATGACCAACAACCAGTTAATGGTATACATTGTGAAATCCGAGTTTCCCAAGGCAGAAACACTTTACACACTTCGGTGAGTTACTGGAAGAAAAATGTGTTCTGTACAACGTGTTTTTTTCCTCTTACCAATTCTTCTTGTATCCTTTAGCTGTAATAAACCATATTCATAAGTATAACTCTCCCTTAGGTCCTGTGAGCCCTTCCAGCACATCATCAAATGTGTGGGTAGTTGTGAGACTCAAAGAACAATGCTTCAGAAAATTAAATTTATTATAGCTTGGATCTGAAATGTCCACCAAAGGCTCATCTGTAGAAGGACTGATTCCCAGCTGACAGTGCTATTGGGATGTGACACAAACTTTTTTAAAGTTAAGTCAATGGCAGCATGCCTTTTACATTTTGTCCCTGAACCATTCCTCTCTTTCTCTCTCTCTGCTTCCTGGCTGTCATGAGGGGAACAAGTGTCTTCCACCATGCCCTTCTGCTGTAGTGTTCTGCCTTGTCTCAGGTCCAAAGCCACAGAACTAACCAACTATAGACTGAAACCTCTGAAATGGTGTGCCCAAATAAATCTTTCCTCCTTTAAACTGTTTTTCTCAGATATTTTGTCACAGAGATAAAAAATTAACTAAGACAGAGTTCTAATATTAAAAATACAAGACTTTGTTTAACCATGGAAATTGTAAGATTAAATAACCATCAGAAAAAAATATTAAATTTCAACTTACAGAGTAGGAGGAAGGCCACTCCACAGGGATTTAATGCCTTCATTTCTAATGATTTTAAAAAAGGCATCCTAAAATTAAAATAGAAAAAAAAATTAGTCAAAATATATCCCTAAACCTGATACATAGAAATGTATAGTGATAATTTATTGGTAATTTGATTCTTTCAAGCATTTATTTCTCAAATATGAGCTCCATTGATTTATAGCTGTCCATTCTTTTAAAAAATAGAATTTCAATGCAAGTACACAAATGCAAGTATAGTGAAGAATTTCTGGATAACAGTTCTTACAAAATAAAATCTATATTACTCAGATCTGGATTTTTCTACTTAGGGCTTAGAAACAAAGGTTTGGAAACATTATTATAAGAAAATAAGTAGAGTAACGATGGCAGAGAATTGGTAAGATAAACCCTCTTCACCAAGTATGAAATCTGAGAAAGTATTATTAAAGCCCACTTTTTGAAGACTCTGGAGAGGAGCTCTAAGTAGTTAGAAGCTGAAGGAAGTCTGCTGTTAATAGACAAACTCTTAAAAGTTAATAAAAATTAAACATTGGCAAAGGATTACAACACACATATCTCCAAAGAAGATACACAAATAGCTAATAATTGTATGGAAAAAATGTTCAAGAACATTGATCATTATGAAATGCAAAGCAAAACCACAATAAGATTGGAACCATCATATATTCTGATGGGAAAATAAAATGATGAAGCTACTTTAGAAAAGGTCTGGCATAGTGTCAAAAGATTTAGTGTAGAGGTACCATATAAACCAACAATACCAACTCTAGGTATATATTCAAGAGAAATTAAAACACATGTTCATACAAAAAAAWTGAATATTCAGAAAGTAATGATTCATTCTCCAAAGTGGGAACCAAATGTCTAGCAACTGATGTACAGAAAAATATGGCATATTCAAACAATAATGTTATTTAGGAATAAAAAGTAAATACTCATACATGCCATAACATTTACAAGACTTAAAATACTGTGGTGAGGAACAAAAAAAAAAAAAAGCTAGTCACAAAGGACTGCATATTTTCCCAGGAAAGGGGAAGCTCAGGAAAATAGAAAACTTTAGACAGTAGCCACTCCAYTCTAACCAAACACCACAGAAAAACCTGTGGCACCACCTACCCATACCACCAAAGGCCAATAGGTAGCCTAGACTTCTATCCCTGTGAAGGCTGCAATGAGGCACTGTAACACCATTTTTTGTGTGGTGTCATAGGTCAATAGGGAGCTGAAACTTTGCCCCACCAGATCAATTATAAGTTCCCCCACTCTCACTAGGGTGGAGTCAGTGGAAGAGTAGTGGAGAGTCAGGACTTTCACTATCACCCAGCAGTAATGAGAYGAGTCCACCACAGAATTAGTGGAAACTACATGGGGAGCCAAAATCCTTATCCTCGCCTAATAGTAAAGAGATCTTCTCTCAAAACTGTGTGCCAATGGAGACTGAGCAGGAAACTGGGACTTGTAGCTTGACCCAGCATTAACAAGGTGGTATCTTCCTTCTTTGGAAGCAGTGTCAGTCAGTTAACAAAGAGGATCAAGGACTTAGGCATTAGAAAGAGACCCTGCACCTAATAGAAGAAAAAGTAGGCCCAAATCTCTGTCATGTTGGCTTAGGAACTGACCCATTTCAAGTTATTACAGAGCTACAGTAATTAAGACTGTTATATGAATAAAGTGACAGACATTATCAATCAACAGAACAGCATCGAGAACCCAGAAATAGATACAGCTCAAAATGTTCAACATAAATGTATATGAAGGCATAAAAAACAACTTGATGGGTGAAAAAAAAACAAACGCAGCTGAACATCCACAGGTAGCAGCAACAGCAACAAACAATCTTCAACTTCAGTCTCATACCTTAAACAGAAACAACTCAAAATGCATTGAAGGCTTAAATATACAGCTATAAACTTTTAGGGGAAAACAAAGGAGAAAACTGTCAGAGTCTAAAGGTAGGTAAAAAGTGCTGAGAATGATTTATAAAAGGAAAAACTATAAATTGGATTTCATCAAAATTAAAACTTGGGGCTGGGGTTGTGGTAGAGCGCTTGTCTAGCATGTGTGAGATGCTGGGTTTGATCCTCAGTACCACATAAAAATAAAAAAATTATTGTGTCCAACTACAACTAAAAAAAAAAATGAAAAACTTACTGTGTGAAAGATCATGTTAATAAGATAAAAAAACAACCCAGAGAATGGGGAAAAATATTTTTAAACCACACACCCCAAAAAGGACCAGTGTCTAGATTATATAACCAACTCTCAAAATTCAATAGTAAAAATACAAACAATTTAATTAGAAAGTGGGCAAATAACATAAAGATCCATTTCACTGAATAGAATGGCAAATAAGCATGAGATATTCAACATCATTAGTCACCAGAGAAGTGCAAATTAAAACTACAATGAGATATTATTATGCATATATAATAATTGATATAATACAAATAGTGACAACACCAGATGCTAGTGAAAACACAAGGGAACCAGATCACTTACATGTTGCTGATGGGGATGTTAAATGGTAGAGCTACTTTAGAAAAAACATGCTGGCAGTTATCTTAAGCTCTCAATATGCAATTACCATGTGCACTCAGCAAATGAAGATTTTATTACAACACACACACACAAACACAAACTGTAAATGAATTTTTGTAGCAGCTTTATTCATAATAGCTAAAAACTGGATATGGCACATCAAAATCACTGAATAGAACAGAGCAATAAAAAGGAACAAATAATTGATACATATAACAACCTGGATGAATTTCCAGATAATTATGCTAAGTGAAAAGTGACTACCCCAGAATTCATTTTTTATGATTCCATTTATAAAACATTTTTGAAATGTCAACATCTTATAAACTGAAACAAATTAGTGTTACCAGGGGTTAATGAGTGGGAGAGAGCACAGGAAAATGTGGAATACGGAAGAATCCTTATAGTGGTGGAATTATTCTTTTTATTTTTTAAAATTAGAACAATGTTAATATCTTGGTTGTGAYTGTTGCTAGTTTGGTAAGATTTTGTTGTCATTGTGGGTGGGAATCTGGGAAAAGCATCCTTGAGATCTGTCTTGTATATTTTTCTTAAAATTACATCTGATCTACCATTATCTTAAAACAAAAGTCTAATTTTTAAAAAGTTACTTCCTCTTTTTTGTACATAAAAAGTATGAACCAATGAAAGTTAACAGAGTTATAAAGGAAAAAAGTACTTCCCTTTTCCTTCTTTAATATAATGGACTTATTACTTCCCTGCAATGAGAAAATTTTTCATATATAAGAATAAATATAAAAATAGAAAATATACAGTAATTCCAAATAATATAATCTCCTTACCAATGTCCCCTGAAAATTTCCTGGCTTCTTATACCATGCTTTGTTGCCTCCCTCTTCACAGACACACATATGATCCATGAGTCCATTACTATATACAAAACATTTTCCTAACAAAGAAGATTCCAGGGGTCAACAATTATTTCACATAATCAAGTTGAAAGTATAATGAGGTGACTAGAAAATTATGATGAAATAACCTTAAAAAAGAAAAATAACTATCTCTTCTTTCTAGAATGAAACATACATAATTAATTCAATTTGTTAAATGATATAGTTTTAAATTCACAGCTGTGCAATGTAATGGAGTAAATTAGTGGATTTTGTGTTTTTGGGACTGTAGTAAGAAATGTACACAGAAACACAATCTTTTAAATTATATGAGGTAATGAAGAAGAAAGAAAGAGGAGGAAAATGTGTTTTGAAAACATGGTTCATGTCTCCTCTATTTGCCCAGAAGAAAACTGTAGTATGCCAACGAAATTCAAGGCAAAAAAATAAAAATAAAAAGGAGACTAAATGTTCATCTCAATGTAAATAGTGGTATGTGTTGTCCTTTTCTCTGTACTTGTACTGCTCAATGTAGATGTCTGCCAGTTCCTACCTAATTTACCACAACTTTTGCTAATACCAATTCTTTCTCATTTATTAGTCTCACTCCTGCTGCCAAAATTGTCTTCTCTGTTCAATATGTATATAATTCTGTGAGTTTCATCAATATGTAAGTCTGAGAATCTCCTTCTGCTTTTAAGGCTTTCTTTAATGTGTAAGAAATTACYTTCCTAGCCTCTTCCTATAATCTACCTAATCCTTTTTCATTCATCTGAAATATGATTGATTTTAATTCCATCTCACTGCTATGCATTCAACAGGGAAGCATTTATATCCAAGCCAATGTTTTTCAGTCTAGTCTGTTTTCTGCTATTTAAATATATTTGAAATGCTGCTATTTTAATAAACATTTAAATGATTGATCTTGGAATTGCTACTCTTGCCCAGCTTGTAAAAATATATAATTATTCATATGAAATTTCACAGAAATGACAGTCCAAAAATAAACCAACCTGCCTGATAAAATAATGAATTTCCAATCACYAGATTTAAGTAACAATTGGATAGTTGTCATGAATGTTCTAGAATAAGTATAATTCTTGAGCAAAGGAAGAATTTAGAGTCTAAGTTCCCTTATAATTCTGTTCTTACATGAGAGGCACATATTCAAATATATAATAATCCCTCTGCTCTTAATTGGTAAATCCAAAAGAGTGTTTCATGTTTTTTTCTGCCTAGACCTCATCATGTACTACAAAATGGCCAAAAATGTTTGTGAATACAGAATAAATTTTTAAAAAGAATTATTCAAATGAAAWTGAATTCAGTAACATTGAAAAATTAAACAACATTATTAGGATAACTCTCACACATACCTTTGGGGAATGGGGTATGCTGGGCTTGGAGTCGAATTTTAATAACATCCAGGGGTGTTACTATGAAGGTACATAAAAATTTCAATTAGCAAGTGATACCTATAAATTGTACAAAGATTTTACAAAAACCACAATATACATCCATGCATGCTTTTCCTCATGGCTATATAATGAATAAGGTTATTTATCTTAAGTACTCTTGAATGTAACATTCTAATTTTTGCCCTTGAATTTTGTTCAAAGAGCTTAAGTGAAAAGACAGGCAGCACTTCTCTAACAAGTATTAAATTATTATTTATAATATATCTACAATTACATTAGCATTAAAAATAAAATACTTAAAAAAAAATAAAATACTAGTGTTTATAGGAAAATATGTTATCTAAGGTAAAGAATAAAAGTTTCTAAAAATCTGTTTAAATATATAAAAATAACTTTGTTTTACAATAGTCAATAATCAAACCCTGATGGTCTTCCTAATCTGTTAAATTTATCTGTATCAAATAAAAGCTATAGGAAATGAAAATTGGAATATCTAACCATAAATCATCTTTAACACAGGTTGTGTCATCTTATTTGGAACAGCATGGCAAAGGCAAATTTGCATGTCATATTTTATCCAAGTAGGAAAAAATATCAAGTATAGTTCCAAGAAAACTATCCCTCATCAGAGTTAGAAAATCAGATAATTTCTAAGGCCTTTAACATTCTAAAATTCTGACCTGAAGATACAGCAATTACTTGTTATAGAGCAATTACTTGTTAACTTATTTAAAATAAACTAGCCAATCATTAAATGCTAAACTATCAACAGTGTCATTTGGCCATGTCTTTTTAAGAAACAAAAATGTGATCCAGAGAAATTTAAGAAATTCACTTGTAATGTAGGCAAAGTAAAACATTGTTTTGTCACTACTATAAAATTTGTTCACCTTCTGTTTTATTCAATATGCTAATATTTAATTCTATCTTTGTAATTTTCAGAGATAATAATCTGAAAAGTTTAATGTTGATAGGGAACCCCCAAGAACTCCTCTTATAAACCCCTAATTTGAGATGAAAAAATGAAGTCTAGAGAGAAGTAGGTTCTGTCCCTAAGTAAGAATCCTAAGAATGGCGAAGCAAGAATTAAAATTCAAGTATCTTGATTTTCTGACTTGATAACTTTTCATGTTATCAATCTGATAAAATAATATCATTAGCATCATGGAAACACTGATTCAAAGTCACATAATAAACATCAGTAGCAGAATTTTACCCATTAGTGATGTCAATATTGCTCCAGTACAGGAGGCAAGAATTTGCTGAAAAGGTGTCACTTTCACAGTCTGTGAGCTCCCTTTTTCAGGATCCATATTTTTAACTAATTGAAGAAAAGTCCTGTTAAAGAAAAGCAAAATAAAAAAAGGTTAATGGAAAAACCTTAAAAATTGGCAACTCAAAGTTAAACTATAAGAACAATGATCAGAATTTATATTAAAACACATTTTTAACCTCTATCAAAAGTAAATACAGGGCTGGGGTTGTGGCTCAGCAGTAGAGTGCTCGCCTAGCATGCACAAGGCACTGGGTTTGATCCTCAGCACCACATAAATGTAAAATAAAGATATTGTATCCACCTAAAGCTTAAGAATAAATATTTTTTTAAAAAGTAAATACATAAATTCTTTTATAAAAGGTACCTTACAACTGCCATTAGTAGAACATGTCCTCTGATCTTACAAACATGATAATATACTTCAGGCTAAGTTATGTGAGCAGCATCACATTTGTAAGACAGCTAAGACAGAGCCAGACACAGATGTTGACCACTTGCCAGAATGAAGGCAACAGACTAACAAGTCATGGAATCTGTCAAGTTAGCCTCATAAACACTACTCAGTCCTTTTCTAATCTAGTACAGAGTAGGACTATTTTATTGCATAATGAAAGTTTCAATTATGTACAAAATAAAATAAAAACATATAACTTTAATCAAAAACATTGTTACAAAAAGTTGATGACAAAAGCAATAATTATTTTTTAAAAGTTGGATAATATAAAAAGTATAAAATTCACTTGAAAACTCACTAATCAAAACTCATCACTAGCAAGAGTGTCAGCTTTCCAAATTTTAACTTATATATCCACATGTATATGTGTATGTGTGTGTATATGTGTGTGTGTGTGTAAATATATATGTGCACACAGATTATATATCCAACTAAAAGTATTAATCCAACATGTATACAAATTCATATATTTGTGTATGTGTCCCTTTTTCTGAAAAATAAAAACGGGGTAAGCCAGGTCTGGTGGTGCAATCCTATAATCCCAGTGGCTAGGATGGCTGAGGCAAGAGGATCACAAGTTCAAAGTCAGCCTCAGCAACTTAGCAAGGCTTTACATAACTCTGTGAGACCATGTCTCTAAATAAAATATAAAAAGGGACTGGAGATGTGGCTCAGTGATTGAGTGCCCCTGGTTTCAATCTCCAGTACCAAAACAACAACAACAAAATAAAAATAAGTTATTATTATTCATGTTTGTTTTTTAACCTGCTGTGACAATGATATTGTGTCAATATAGATTCATATAACTTTTACTGATTGCACAGTGTTTAATTATATTTAAAGAATCTCATCTTTTAGACACTTAGGTTGTTGCCAATTTCTTAACTGTAAAACATTCTGACACGATATCCTTATCCACACAACTTTTTATAGTCTTCCTACAATTACCCTAGGAGAGAAAGTAAGATTGTTGGGCTGACCTATTTAAAAATTTGATAAAAATGGCCAAAATCCTTTCCAGAAAAGTTAGAATAATATATACTTCCACTGGTGTTACACAAGTTCCTAGTGATCCACTTCTTCACAAATTCTTACACAGTATATATCATTAACTTTCTCTGAGCCATTCAAAAGTAGATTGCATACACCATGCTCCTTTACTCTAAATACAACAATATATTCTCTTATATTATCAAAGTATAATAAACAATTTCAAGAAATTTAATTTTGACACAACACAGTTCATATTACAGTTTTGTCAATTATATTAATAACATCCTTTATAAAAATGAATGGTAATTTTATTTTTTCAGACTTTCATTATTTATCTACCTGGTTTAAGTCTTTTCCTCAATTCTGTGCTCCCGTATTTTATTGTTTGTAACATCAGTAGCTGGAAACCTAAAAAAAAAAAGTAAGAGTTTTTTTTTTACATAAAGAGATATTACATCTGAAGGAAAGAGAATGTACAGAAACAAGGCTGGGGAGGTGGCTTAATGGTAGAGCCCTCCAAAATGCAAGCATTAAAGTTATGAAAAGCATTTTTACAAAAAWGTCATGTTATCCTAATTAATATACTCTTATTTAAAAACAACCACTTTAGAACTTGAACACAGCGACCACCCTAAGCATCATGTATAGTAGTACTAGATTTTTTAACGCAAAATTAAAGACAGCATCATCTAGTATTTTTTGAGGGGGGGAGGAAACCTCCTCTAATCTAAATTTAAAYGAGCTTCTGATCTAATTACCTATTCCCAGGAAATTCAGAGACTAGAGTAACAAGGCAACAGATGCCACAAAATAGCACATACCACAACAGTTGTAGTACTCTAACCTACAGGCCTCTTGACTTGGTTTCTTCAAGTCAAAATAAGGTGGTGAAAAAGGTGGCAGCAGAGGGAAAACTGTTAAAGTCTCATGGTTTCAACAAATTTTTAAAACCCAATTTGAGAGGTTGGGGTTGTGACTCAGTGGTAGAGCGCTTGCCTAGCATGTGTGAGGCACTGGGTTCAATTCTCAGCACCACATAAAAATAAAATAAATTTATTTAAAAAAAACAATTTTAGGGTAACTAGAGAAATCTGAACATGGGTTGTTAGATAACACTAATTTGATATTAGTTAATACTTTTAAATTATTGATCTTTTATGGAGATAATGATACTATCATTATGTAGMAACTATCCCCCCACCATCACCCCACCACCACGAGCAGTGATTGAACCCAGGGACTTAACCATGCTAGATAAGTGCTATGCCTCATACAGAGGTCCCCAGCCCTTTTGAGACAAAAGTTAACTGGGCTGACCTCAGACTCCTAAGTAGCCTAGATTGTAGGGATTCACCACCAGATTTGGCTGTATTTTGTAGTTTTGATAATAGCTATTCAAACTGGGTAGACAGTATCTCATTGTCATTTTGATTTGCACATCCCTGATAAGTGTTATTTAGCACTTTTACATATATTTGGTTAGCTACTTGTATATCTTTTTTTGAGAAATGTCTTTTCAGATCTGGGAGGTTTTGTTGTTGTTTTCCTTTTTTGGTGCTAGTGATTGAACCCAGGGCTTTCCACATGCCAAGCAAGGATTCTACCACTGAACTATGCCTTAACCCTTATTTGCTCCATTTTTCTTTTCAAATGGTTTTTTAGTTGTATATGAACACAATATCTTTATTGTTTATTTTTATGTGATGCTGGGGATCAAATGCATGCTAGGCAAGCGTTCTACCATTAAGCCACAACCCAGCCCTCTTTTCTTTTTCTTTATTTTGTGGTGTTGTTTTGATACTGGGGATTGGACCCAGAAGCACTTTACCACTGACCTACATCCCCAACCCTTTTTATTTTTTTGAGACAGAGTCTTGCTAAGTTGTGAGGCTGGCCTTGAACCTGCAATCAGCCTCCCAAATAGCTAGGATTACCAGACTTGTGCCATTGTGTTCAGCCGATTTGCTCATTTTTAGTTGTTCCTTGTATACTCTGGTTAAATCTCTTACTAGATGAATAGTTGGCAAAATTTTTTTCCCATTCTGTAGGTTGTCTCTCAACTGCTGTTTCCTTTGCTGTGCAGAAGCTGTTTTGCTTGATATAAACCCTTCTGTCAATGTTTGCTTTGTTGCCCGTGACTCTGAGGTCATTACCCACCAAAGTTTTACCAGATCAATGGCTTGAAGTATTTCCCCTTTGCTTTCATCTAGTACTTCATGTCCTACATTTAAGTATTGGRTCCATTTTAAGTTGATTTTTGTATATTATATGGTCAGAGATAGGGGTCTGGTTTCATTCTGCTGTATATGGATACCCAATTCCCACAGCACAATTTATTTAAAAGACTGTTCTCCCTCTAATGTGTGTATACTTCTCTTCATAGAATCTTCTCACTTCCTTGGTTAAACTTATTCCTAAGTATTTCATTCTTTTCATAGCATTGTAATCAGAGTGCCTTCTATATTTTTTCATCAAGTGCATTTTGAGGTACAGAAAGACTACTTTCACTTTACTTCATTTTGCTGAATTTGTTCCACTGGTAAGTTKTATGGTGGAGTCTAGTTTTTCTATATTTAAGATCATGTCATTTGTAGAAAGGGACCTTTCCAATTTGGATGCCCTTTATTAGTTAGGACTTCTAGTACTACAATGAATAAAATCAATGAAAGTGGGCATTCTTATCTTGTTCCTTATCTTAGAGAAACACTTTCAACTATTTTTCAGTTTGTTAGTTGTGGGTTTGTCAATATAACCTTAATTGTGTTGATATATAATTGTTCTGTCTCTCATTTGTTGACAAGAGCTTGTATCATGAAGAGATGTTAAATTTGATCAAATGTTTCTTTCTGTATCTGTTAAGATGATCATATGGTTTTTGTCCATGCTTATTGATTTGCATGATTCTTCCTAATATGTGTGAAACCCCACACAATCATGGTATATAATATTTTTGATGTGCTATTAGATTCAGTTTGCTAATATTTTGTTGAGAATGTTTGCATCTGTGTTCATCAGGGATATTAGTCCATAGAGAATTTCTTAAATAGGCCTGGCACAGTGGTGCATGCCTGTAATTCCAGCAACTCAGGAGGCTGAGAAAGGAGGGTTACAAGTTTGAGGCCAGCCTGGGCAATTTAAGTCAAAATAAAATATAAAAAAGAATAGGGATATAGCTCAGTGGTAGAGTGCCCCTGCATTCAATCTCTAATATAGCAAACAAAAAACAAATAAATAAACCAGAATTCTTAAATAGTACGTAAAGTAGGAACTCAGATTCAACTATTTCAATGTAAAAAGGAGTAACCTCTTTCTCCAATTCCAAGGACTGCCACCCTTTCTTTCTTTTAACCTAACTCAGATTCAACTATTTCAATGTAAAAAGGAGTAACCTCTTTCTCCAATTCCAAGGACTGCCACCCTTTCTTTCTTTTAACCTGTCATACCACTCTCTTAACCTAAGTTCTATTCTTTTCTTTTTAAATATTTTTTTAGATGTTGATGAACCTTTAATTTCATTCATTTATTTATACATGGTGCTGAGAATGAACCCAGTGCCTCACATAAGCTAGGCAAGGGCTCTACCACTGATCCACAACTACAGCCTCCCTAAGTTCTATTCTTGTGTAAAACAGTTAAGAGGCTTTCTATTATCTTCTGTTGGTCAACTTAATTATCCTTGGACTATACCACATTATAGTGATTATTATTAAATTACAAGTGCCTACATATGGTAGGTCAAGGCCCTCTCCCTACTCTTCTTTAGATGTAGTATGGCCCTTTGGTCTTTCACATAAACTTAATTATCTTACCAAGTTCTTGAAAACCCTCTTTGGGACTTTGGTTGGGATTTAATTGAATGTATAGACAAATGTGGAGGCAATTAGTATCCATGAATGAGTAGTCTATTTGTTTATTTAGGTCTTCCATAATGTTCTGAAGTTTTAAATTTTGTCTTATAGAAATACTGCATATTGTGGCAGATCTGTATATCTAACGGTCTCTAATATTACGTTTTCTCTTTTAGCACATGCATATGACTTATGTTAATTTTTTATTAATTTTTTTTTACTTGTCAGTGGATCTTTCATTTTCTTTCTTTAAAATTATTTATATGCAGTGGTCAGGGCCTCACACATGCCTGGTAAGCGCTCTACCACTGAGACACAACTCCAGCCCCTATATGTTAATCTTATACTTATCTACCTTGCTAAAAATCCCCTATTATTTGTAACAATTTTTGGACTCTTGAGTTTTCTMTGTAAATGTTTATATGGCATGCAGGTAATGTTTGGTTCCTGTCATTTCCAGTCATCTAGCTACTAATTTATATTTCTTACTGCACAAACTAAGATCTCTGTTAACAATGAATGGAGTGTGACACTGCATATTCTTGTCTGTTCCTAAATTTTAAAAGAATTCTGAGATTCCCCAAGAGTATGATGTTTGCTCTAATTTTGGTGATACAGTGACTCATCAACATACTAGAAAACTTTCTAATCTACATTTACTAAGATTTTCACTCTAAAAATAATCTACTGACATAGTTAATATACTATGAGTACTAATATTTAAATTTTACAATTTAGTAAGTTTTGGACACCTGTGAAACCTGTCATGCCCATAAGTTTCCTCCTATTCCTTTATAATTACTTCCTAGTCTCCTTCCCCTGCTCTGAAACAAACCACTAATCTGCTGTCACTACAGATTTATTTGCATTTTTGAGGATTTGAAGTTAATGGAAACATATAGTGAGTGCTCCTTTTTTTAACTAGGCTTTTAAAATTTACATTAATTATTTTGAAACTATACTATTAAATGTATTGATATTTGTTTACTTTCTGTTGTCAATATTCCATTATAGGAATCTAGTATAATTTTTTATTTATTCACATGTTGATAGAAATTTTGATTGTTTCTAGTTGAGGGCTAGCACAAATAAAGCAGCTATGAACATGTGTTTTAAGCATTGAGTAAATAAGTAAAATAGCTGGATCAAATGGCTATATATATATATCTTTCTTCAGGGATTGAACTCAGGGTCACTTAACTACTGAGCCACATTCCCAGCCTTTTTTATTTATTTTGAGAGGTCTCAATAAGTTGCTGGCCTCAAACTTGTGATCTTCTTGTCTCAGCTCCTAAACTGCTGAGCTTACAGCTGGATGCCATCACAAGGGGCAAATATTTAACATTTTAAGAAACTGATAAACTGTTTTTCAAGACAAGTATATTATTTTACATTCCCACCATCACTACATACAAGTTCCAGTTGCTTAACATTCTTCACTCTTGGTAGGGTTAGTGTTAAAATTGTATACATTTGAAAGTTGAAAAYTGTTATCTCACTGTGGTATACTTTGTATTTTCTCAAGGAAATAATGTTATGTCTTTTCACATTTATTTGCTA